TCTCTCTCTCTCTCTCTCTCTCTCTCTCTCTCTCTCTCTCTCTCTCTTTTTCTCTCTCTCTCTACCCTTTGCCACTGCGGCAACAACGCGGTTAAAGGTAGACATACATATAACTATTTCGAAGCTAGTTAAAAGAAAAAGAAAAAAAAAAAAATTATGGAACAAGATGCCAGTATATGCTAGAGCCAGTTTATAATCGTTAAAAAAGATGAAGAAAGGAACCTCTACGTGTTAAGATTAGTGCGAAGATTGATAAATTAATACTTGTTACGTGTTGTATTTTGATAGGGAATAGTGCCTTTTAACGTTTAAGGAAGAGAATATTGCGTTAGGCCTTAAGTATACTGTTAGTGCCTTAAGTCACGCGAATCTTCGTGCTTGTACACATTTCATAACGCGACCATTTCGAATCCTCTTGCGGAGGACCAGTGAGAGATACACATACATATTATAATATATCAAGCGTTTCTATTATATTCGATCGAGAGATATATTCTCCCTCGTTCGAAACGAATAACGAAAAATTATTGCCAATTATTTCATCCACAGATCCTTGCTTTCATCCCCTTACTCTTCACGCTGCTTTTTCGCCTCGTCTTCGTCTTACTTTTCGACGACATTTTCACATTCAAAATTCCTAATTACGAAGGCATCGCAATAGAAAACGCGATAAGAAACGGGCCACGATACAGCCCACGTTTGCGCTCACTACGATGCCAACACCTCTCGCAACAATTCTCTTTTACCTTCTTCTCAAAAATCTCAAATCAACCCTTGTCCACAGATTCGTTCGTCGAAACGCTCGCGTCACCGATCATCACCATTATCGCCATTTTTACCATTTCATCCGACAAAATTTTTTTACAATCTCGTCGTATCGTGGCCCGTGGCTCGCTACCAATACTTAAATAATAATAGTAGGCCCGCAGGACCGATCACGCCCCCCCTCCCCTTCCCGGTATCACCGTATGAATAATTTTCGCGCGATCGTCATTGCGAAATTCAATCCGAAAATGAACGAGGTGCCACCCAGGATGCCACTCCACGATCTTGATGACTGATACCGTTGTACCTTTCCTGTAAGGGATTTCTTCAGCGGTGTGCAGCCGTCAGTAATCTGAGCGGAGAGCGCGCCCGATGAGAAATGCATACTGACGTCATGCCGACACCCTCTTTGATCATTATCATTTTTTTTCACCGCGAGCTCGTGCCGGATCGTACGCTCCTCAACGAGATACATTCTACTTCAACTTCGTCCCGTTACGGCATACCATCTCCGCCTCGAGAACGATTCATTTCGGCTAATTGTCGACACTGGATGATAAAACGATATTGTTCCCGGTTAACATTTTGGCCGAGAGGCGTTTCTCTCTCTCTCTCTCTCTCTCTCGTTTCACCTATCTTACACGAGGGCACCTCGTCGAGTCTTTCGTCGGAATTCCGTCTCGGGCAAAATCTCGCGTAGATTTCTTCCTTTTTCTTTCTTTTTCTTTTTTTTTTTTTTCTTTCTTTTTCAAGAAGCTCAATCACATTCCAATACGTTTCGAACGCCTCGAGTGAGAGATTTTTCTCAAGGCTGACGACGATTATTCCAAAAAAAAAAACGAGCGCACACACATTCCCAAAGGCGCGAAGAATAGATAGAAAAAAAGAACAATTGTGTTTTTTTCGTATTAATAAAGAAACCTATACAATTTTTCCAAACGAGGAAGGTGAACTCATCCGGAAAACGGGGTAAAAAGGAATTGGACGCGATCGATTTTCTAGAAAGGCCCCGTCTAGGGAAATTAGCATTTCAAGTGCCTTAAGAGACGTCAACGTGACAGGCTACGAGCTCGAATCGAAGTGAGTTTTCGCGATCGAATGAACCGTTCTTCGTTGACACGCTTGATGAAAAATGACGGTGTTGAATAGGGGCGGAGGAGGAAAAGATGAAGGATTGATGAAAAATTCGAATTTATCATTTGTGTCGTTTAACCAACGAATAAATTTCAAGATGAGAAAAATTCGTTAAATTTTCTCTCGAGATTCGACGTATATTATTCGTCTTTCGACAATGTCTTTCAAAAAAAAATTTCAACCCCTCCAACGTCGATCGTTTGATGGGTGTCGACGTACCTGAACTCGTTGTTAGATTTCTTCATTTCATCATATTCTCTCGCTTACACGGCTGTCGGAAAAAAAATTCCAACGAGGCATATATATACATATTATTAATTTAAGAGGTGCTCTTAACGAGCGTGTTCGGGTGATGTTTAATGGCTGCGCGTGGAGAGATCCGACTGTGCGAGCCATATATTCGAAAACGTGTCTGATGAAAAAGAGGAGGGGGGAAGTAAAAGAAAAGAAAAAAAAAAAAAGAAATAAAAATAAAATCACGATGTATCGAGGTTTTCGAAACGACGTAGCTGACAGGTCAGTCCGTCAAACTAGCGATGATTTTCCATTCTTCGCTTCTTCAAGGGCCAGTAAAACGATACTACACACAACGCACACACGCATACACATCATCATACGATCACTAACACGCGTACCTTATCAACCAACCAACACGTATAAATTGCATTCTTAATCTGCGATCATGCGCGGTGCTCAATCTTTCTTGGTGCTTTCGTACGTTGAATTTGACGTGCGTATATTATACATCAACGTGGACAATACGAGGTCGATTCTTAAAGATCCATTACGCGAGAGCGTAAAAGGTAGGCAAGAAGGTAGGTGTGCGCACGTGTTTGCGTCTAGGAGATGTCGAGCCACATCAGAAACGAAAAGCAATACCGAGTAATATATTTACTAGAGTTAAGATTATATTTTATTATTTTTTCTTTTTTTTTTTTTTTTTTTCTCTCTCCGAACGCGAACTCACTTTCGAACTCAGGATGAATGGCTGATATCTGAGGAACACAGTCTGATTGGCCGATTCTTTTATTTCCATTTTCCAGGAAAAAAAATTATATATTATGTGATCCAGCGGTTTGATCAAAGAATCGAAAGAAAAAAAAAAAGAAAAGAAAAAAGAAAAAACAGGCCGGTGATTATCGACTCGGATACGAAAATTCTCGCGTACGCGTCGAAGATGAAGAGCAAGAGAAAAGAAAAAAAACGGAACTACTAGGTCGTAAGAGATATTAGATACTAGCCGAATAACAATACTACATTGTACATAGCACCGTTAAAATTAAAATTATTATCCGTTGATCATCACCGACAGAAGAGAAAAAGAAGAAGAAGCAGAAGAAGAAG